AGAGTTAAATAAAGTGACCCAGAAAGGAAATTCTCTCCACGAAGAATTTTGTTTGTTTTTAGAAATTTGCCACTGTACTTATACTTGTTTTACTAATGCCAAGTTTGGAATTTGAAATATATTTGTGAGTTTGAGATTTATATTTTTGGCGCTTGGATAACTTGGTCTGGGTATCTCTCAGTTATGTCAGCTAATGACGAGCTAAGGCTGCATAAGTCGGATCTCCTGATAATTCCCAAATTGCCAGAGCCCAGGTTGGCCAGCCAGACTTCCTTTAGGTGTGCTTTGCAACCTTCAACAGTGTCAGAATTAGCATCTTGTCTGTAAAAGAGTTAAGAGGAGCACTATTGCAAAATATGGTAAAGAAGGGAGGGACCCAACACAAGCCCGGGGCCCAGGCCAGGCTGGGTTCAAATCAAACTCTGCCCTTTATGGGCTTAGCTGAGTGGCTGTGCCTCAGTCTCTGCCTTCCAATGGTAATGGAACTTACTTTGTGGGATTAAATGGAATACTGCATGTAGACCACCTAAGGAAGGGCCCAAAAGAGGGTGTGGGCTGTGGCGTGACAGGGTGTTTGCTGCTAGCCTTGTTGGAAACTGATGAGCCTTGTTTTATTCATCCTCATTCCTGTGAATAAAATCTAAGTTTATAGATGAGGACCCTGACGCTTAGCAGTGTTAAATTGCTCACTCGGGATGACACGACTCGAGATGAAACTCCAGGAGTGTTTGTTCGTTGACTCTTGCGTCATTGGCCCACATTGTAGATACTCTGTTTCATCTCTTTGTTGAGTGTTGAGCTGAACAATACTTTTTACTACAAGAGCTTTGAATTATCCCTTTTCATCACCTTCTTTTCATCCCTTCTTTCTTTTCTCCCTTTCTCCTTTCTTCCCGCAAGTGTATTTTTAGCACTTCCCATGGACAAAAAGCCCTCTCATCTTCATGAAACTATTACACAGCATTAGAAAATGAAAGAAGGCCTCCAGCTGGAAAGGTCCTTCCAGGTGGTTCCATGCTGTCCCCACTTTGAAGTGGTCTGAAAGCTTTCAATGCCACTTTTCTTGAGGTCCACTCAGTGCTTGCTTCTTGTCAAGGAGCGGTTCCTGCTCAGTCTTTCGGAAGTCAAGTTCCCCTGCGCACAACAGCTCTATGATGAAATCTTCCTCAACACCATCACCCACAATTGTCCCAAAGGACACGTCCCTGTTGCCCACTTCCTGCAGACTGTATCATTTCAATGACACCCAAAATCTTGGCTGAAAAAGTAATTTTCCCATTGAATGCTGACTTCAATGTCATTTTACTCTTTCTAAGAAAGATAATTCATCAATTGTGAGCCTGGAAGCAAAACTTTTGTTTCTTTCCCTAGCATCATAGTCAAGACAGACTATGTCTTTGACCGAATGCATGAGATTTCCATACCAGCCACTTCTCCAATTCTCTACGGACACCAATTATTTAAACTCCAAACAAGCAGTGATGCTATCTGTCTGGGTTTAACACAGACACAGGTGAAGGGCTCAGTCCCTCAGGACACCAGTCCCTAGGTGACCCAACACTTTTGATGTGGTTACGAATCAGAGTTTCCTATGGACTGTTCTTCAGGAGCATTTGTTAGAAAAGCTCTCAGAAATCAGGCAAACACTAATAGTCATTACTTTACTATACTAATGTAGAATATGGCAAAGGGCACAGAACAACCAGATGAAGAGCTGAGCAGTGAAGTGTGGAGGGATCTACACTCAGGAGCTGCTGACCCTGTGGAGTCAGGGAGTGCCCCTCACTGGGAGCATGGGTGTGCTCAGCAACTCAGAAGCTGTTGAAACACTATGCTTTAGGGATTTTTATGGAAAATTCACCAAACAGGCATGATGGATTTTTATTTTTATTTTTATTTTTTTTGTTTTTGTTTTTTCTCCGGTACCGGGAACTGCACTCACGACCTTGCGCTTGCCAGGCAGGCGCTTTTGCCGCTGAGCTAAATCCCCAGCCCAATGATGGATTTTTAACTCAATATCCTCACTCTTCTGATCTCTTCAAAGGATGAAGGGTGGTGGTGGTGGGGAGCTCAAAGTTCCAAGCTTCTAATCATGACTTGGTCCTTCTGCTGATCCACTTCTGTCTGGAACCTCACCAAAACTACCTCATTAGAGCCAAAGATGCTCCTATCACCAAGGAAATTCCAAGGGACTTAGGAGCTCTGTGCCAGGAAGTCAGAGACCACAACACTAGAACAAAAAGTGCTTCAAGCACCCCTAGGAGCTCTCTCTGAAGAACTGAAGGAAAACAAAAAAAAAAAACAAGAAAGTTATTTCCTCACCAGAAAATATGACTGCAGAATCAAATGCCTGTCCTCCTCCAAGATACCACCTCCTGTGATGAGCTTGGCCAGAAATCTAACATTTCATGTATTCAGAAGCTCAGCTTTAGTCTAGCCAAAGTGAATTTTGCTGTGTGCCTATGTGTGTGCATGTGTGCGGTGCCTGTGATGTGAGCCTTCCCTCAGGGCCAGTGAGCTGCAGAAACTGGTCTTCTAGCATAAAAGCCTGGACTCTCGAGGGCAGCAGCGCTGTCTAAACGCATTGACTGGGCAGGGTGCATTCACAGATGTGACTCTGAATCTAGGATGATAGCTTTCCAAGCTAATGTGATTAATGTGCTCCTGGTAGGCGACGTTTCCTGCTGGTCCATGTTCTCCAGTGAAGACAGATCAAGTTCTGCTTTACAGCCTCCAGCAGAGCCCTTCAGTGCTGAAACAGGAAGGAAGCCAATCCCCCCCACCCACACCCTCACCCCTGCATCTCAGCTGTTTTGTAGATATGCGGCCAGTTCTTAGAAAAGGATTTGGAGTTGCTGCAAATCCTGCTTTTTTCACTGTTCTTTTCCCTCCCTGTCTCACTCCATCACCCCAGCAGATGTCTAGCGGGAAGTAGGGCAAGGAGGCAGGCAGCCATGCCTGGAGAGCAGCCAGCAGGAAGTGGTCAGAGATGGTAGAGGAACCTTGGGGAACTGGAGATTCAGCGCAAGGAATCTAGGGAAGAAAAGACCTTGCAGATGGCCTCCCCTCTATTTTACCTGCTCACTGTATTGACAGGGGTAACAGGGCAAGCTGGCCTTGCTTCATGGCATCTTGTTTAGGAGCAGGTTTTTAAAAAGGCAATTGGTGTCCAAAAGAGGGATGCAAATGCTTCTGCTGAGAGACTTTATTGAAAAATTACCAAAAGATCTAGGACAAATGTGTATCCCACCCACTAGAGTGATCAGAGGACAAAAATCACAATAGTGTAGTTTTAAAATCTCAGTTGGCTTTAATTTTGATTCTAGTCCCAATACTTCATTATAACATAGAATATCTGTTCCAATCAAGCGAGTAAAGGAGTTTGTTTTTATAAACAGGAAAAACTGAAGAAGACAGAAGCAATGATTTTAAAGAGTGTGTTGGGTTTTTCCGAGTTAACTTTCCTGGAAGGTGGAGGCAGGGAGAGAGAAAGTAGAAAAATGACTGATGGGTTAGGTCATTTTGGGTTACGTTTGTATTTATTTACTCTTTTGAAAAGACTAAAGCAAAGGGAACTTCATTATCGTCCTAATTGCAACTGACCTGCTTGAAAAATTTGACTGTCGTCTCTCTAATCATGATTTCTCAGAAGGTCAGATAAGCAGCTTAGTTTCTGCCCGGTGACAGGGAACTTTAGCAAGAGAACCCCAGGATGAGCCCAGGGGGAGGTCTCCGGGTCATTAGGGACATGGCCTTGAGGGTAGTTATGCGCTCCTGGCCCCACCTTCTTTTCTCTTTGTTTCCTGGCTTGGTGAACAATTTTGTCTCCTGTTATGGCTACCTCACCTCAGGCCCAAAGCAATGGGGCTATCTGATTGTGGACTGGAACCAAAATATAACTTTTCCCTTTATAAGTTGACTGTCTCCAGTATTTTGTTATAGAAATAAAATGCTGACTAATGCACCTGGTCAGTTGGGGACCCAGTGCAAATGCTTAGGCCCAAACAATGACCCACTGCAATTTTTAGATAAGAAAGTGAAGGGATCAGTATCCCCACTTTCCATCTGGGAACTTCCTAGAGATCCTAAATCTCCTGAGATGCTGGCTCTGAAATCTGCTATATGTTGCTGTCACCTTGGAGTGAAGAAGAATGCAAATACCTGTCCCTGGCTCTTAGATTTTGACTTAATAGGGTTGGTGGATCTGGGCATGGGGATTTCTCAGAGCTCCCCAAGTGATTCTGATGTTCGGGGGAGTCTGAGAGCTACTGTGAAACCAGTAGCTTTCCTTCACCTCCTCCTCTCTCTGGTCAACCTCCCCACAGCTCACCCTTCTCCAGTTAATCTTGCCAGCATGACCCCTCGGGCTCCTTGGCACATTTACAAATATGGCCAATGCCACCATACTTCACTGGATCCGTGGTTTGTCCCAAGAAAAGAGGTCTTTGGAGAGGTAGTTCATAGGGGCTTCCTGAAATTGGTCCTTCTCTCTTGTTTCATTAATAAGTTTATTGGTACAGTTTAGATACATATAATGACCACATTCATCATGGGGAATTTGTACCCATGTGTGATATATCTTGATTCCTTTTTTCCCCCTATTTTCCTCCCCTTCCTTCAATCCCTTTTCCCCACCTTATTTACAAAGCTTTTATTTTCTTCAGTCAGATTTTATTGGTACATTTTAGGTATATATAATGATGACATTCATCATAGAGAATTTGTACCTGTACATGATATAACTTGATTCTTTTTTCCCTATTCCTCTCCCCTCCCTTCAACCCCTCCCCTCCTCCCCATTTACAAAAGTTTCTTTTCCATTTTTTCCTTCTTTTCTCACTTTCTCCTTCCCTTTGAAATATAAAACTGGCAAGCTGTCTTTACTCTGGAACAAAGAATAAATAGCTCTTAGTGGGTGAAATTGTCTTCTTGTCCTTTGACATCTTCTGCCTGGATGTGACATCATAAACTGGTAGAAGATCATCACATTCTTCTAGGCACAGAAAACAAAGGGAAGAGTGTCGTCAAGGATGAACTCCATGTGAGGCAGGCCATGGTTAAGTTTGTTTTCAGGAAAATACCTCCAGTGAGTTGGCATGGGCGATGGACTCGGGGAGACTAGTTTAGGGGCTGCCAGGGTAGTGGAGGTGACAAGAGAAAGATGTATGAACTAGGACCACCAGCAGAGACCAGCACCGAGCACCTTTCTGATAATGGATGTATCAGGTGACAAATGTATCAGGTGACAAATTGGGGGGAGGGGACAGACTTAGTGATGGAGACTTTAGGGAGATTTTAATGTCTACAGCTGCTGACTGAAAGTGTTACCATCCAGGAAGGGTACAGTCCACCCGCCCAAGGGAACTGACAAGAAAAAGAGCTACTAGTCATGAGAGAGAGGGTTGCCTTAGAAACTGTGATGTTTTGTGGCTTCTTTTTGAATGCTCTTTCTATGGACCTGGAATTTTACATAAACTGAGACATCTGTAAGCAAACTCTAAGGTGAGTCCATAGAGGAAAATGAGGGGAAAGAGCGAAATCGCTGTATTTAATGGTTTCTGATTTGATGCACCACATGGGGCTCATGACCTCCACTATAATGAAGAGTGGGTCGGCTATGCGGGGCACAAACACGAAGTTGGCCCTGACCTTTACCTTAAAATCTCTATAGTAATGATTCTATTAAGTAAATAGCTTTGCAAAGGCTGTGTAATTACAGCTGTCATAGTCATTAATGTAATTTACCAAATGGTAGAAACTACGTGCTGCTTGCTTCTTTCCTTAAAAGGCAGAGGAAATAGGTAGGAAATGGCAAAACTCTGAAATATTTTTTCTATTACAGTGCAAGAGAACAATAAGGGTGTTGTCAGACATTTGAATGAGGCCAAAAAGAAAGTTGGGAAAAATTCCTCTTTTAACAATATCCATTATTCTGATTGTAACCATTCTTCTCAACGTACATGACTATTTTAACAAAAGTACCAAAAAGTAAAAAGAAGCAAGTAATCCCAACAGAGAGAGATAATTATTACAAACATTTGATGTATTTCTAACCTTTCCGTATAAATAAATATACTTTTTTACATTTTTGGTGTTGCACCGTAGACAACATTTCGTGTCCCGAGTTTTTTGCTTACTACTGTAATTAAAATATCTTCCACTATTATTGAATATTCTTCAAAAACATGATCATAATAGCCTTTTCCTTTTTCTTTTATAAACATTCTTTCAGCAAATTCTGGTAAAATATATATTTTTATGTTCTGAAGATATATCATTAGTTTTGTGTTTAAATGCAATCCCAGAAATCGGGTCTTCCTATGCCACACATGTATCTTTTAAGCAGCACTTTCAGAAGATGGTCTCTCAAGTGACCACCTAACGAGCCCTCCAGATCGCCTGATTTCCCCTCTACTCCATCTTCTGGGCTTGCTGAATCCTTGGAATGTACCAAAGCAGAGGACTGCAACATAATGTGCGAACAAACAAAGTGAATGCTTAAATTTTAAAAAATGTGTTCTATAAATGGCACATTGCCATTAATCTGTCTCAAAATACTCCTTCTTGCTTCAAACACACTTATTTCATCTTTCTTATTCCCTCTTCCCTCCCTTCCTTTCTTCCTTCCTTCCTTCCTCTTTTTTATTAGTGCATATTTGTGATACATAATGAATACATTCATTGTGGCAGTCACTAGATGTACAAAGCATATATTAATTTTTTTTTTATCCTCTTCCTCTCTCCTCCCCACTCCTAACTTCTCTTAGTCTCCCTCCCATTTGCTGGAGATCTAGCTCCCTATTGCCTATTGCCTATCTTTTATTTTGCTCTTTATGTATATTTTGAGTTTCTCACTTTAAAGATACTATGTGATATATAAATTTGTGTGCCTGATTTATTTCACCTAACTTTGTGGTCTCAAACTGCATCCATTTTCCTACAAATGACTCAAGTTTACCCTCTTTACAGCACAGTAGTACTGCATTGTGTATAAATCCCACATTTTCTTTATCCATTCATCTGTTGATAATAGACAAATTCCAAGATCTAGCTGTAATGAACTGTGCTACTACAAACAGGGTTTTGAGTGTATCACTACATTATGATGTCTTTAACCCTTTTGGGAAGATATCTAGAAGGGAAATAACTGGGCCCAATGGAATTTCTATTTTTAGTTTTTTGAGGACTCTCCATCCTGGTTTCCATAGTGGTTGTACTAGTTTGCTTTTCCACTAGAAACATAGAGGATTCCTTTTTCCCATCTCCAGAGTTTATTATCTTTTGATTTCTTGATGACAACCATTCTTTTTGGAGTAAGATGGAATCTCAGTGTTGTTTCAATTTGCCTTTCTGTAGTGGCCAGAGGTAGTCAACATTTTTCATGTATCTACAGGCCATCTACACTTCTTCTTTGGATCATCCAAACACTTCAGATGCTCCTTTTTGACTGGGTCTTTTAATTTGAGGAGTCTACCTTTTTAAGTTCTTTGTGTAGTCTACATTTTAGTCCTCTGAGGATTAGCAGGCAACACTTTTTTCCTTTTATGGAGGCTATCTCTTCACTCTGTTGGTTGTTTCTTTGGTTGTGCAGAAGTACTTTTTCATGCATATCCTTATGAGGTATGATAAAAAAAATATGGTGAATGCTGCTGCTGAGTGTCATCCAACAGAAAGCTAGGCTTAGGAAAAACCTTTCAATGTGTCCTCATTCACCTTAGGGCCAGATCTCTTCCTCTAAGTCAAAATTACCATGAAAGGTAAATGCTTTGAATTGATTCTGGACATTGAGGCAGCCACAGCAGCACAGCTGATGACACTCATGAAAGAGGACTTCGAGATCTGCTTCAGAAAGTGGCAAGTAATTGTGTCCAAAGTGATGAGAAATATTTTGACCGTGATTATTGGCCATATATCTTTACCATAATATGTTTTTAAAAATGTAAACATTCACTGTAATTTTCTGTCACACCTTGTACATTGATGTACTTCTACTTTTGCTGGTTGATTTGTATGCTTTCCAAGAGTTGGTTAGTTTGTTCCCAAACTTGTTTATCTCACTTCTTCGTACTATAATGATTACACCATTTAATTATATACTATACAAGCAAGTAAAATCTCTGTGTGAAAAGAGTTTTTATACTCATGAATATGAAGCAAAATGCTTTGGAAATATTCTGTAAAAGCAAATCACAGAAAAAGCAAATCACTCAAAATATTTTCATTTAAAAATAAGTGTGGGCAAAATTCAAATCATTTCTACATAGCAGCAGCCTATAATTTGAGATCAGTTTTTTATAATAGCATTGACAATAACTCACAAAATATGAAATGTTTAAGTATAAATCTCACAAAACATGTACAGGATCTGTACACCAAAAACTACAAAACACAGACAAAAGAAATCAAGATCTAAGTAAAAGGAGACATGCACCATATTCATTGATTGGAAAACACAACATAGTAGAAGTATTGATTTTTCTGCTGTAACTCTACAGATATAGTGCAGTTCCCACCAAAATTTAAGCTGTATACTACATAGACAAGCTCATTCTAAATTTTAGGTGGAAAGGCAAAGTAATTAGGATAGCTAAAACAATTTCAAAAGGAAAGAAAAAAGTTGCAGTAGTCACACTCTTACAATAATCAAGACCATATGATATTGACAAAAAGATAGATCCATACAGCAGAATAGTCTGGAAATCAGCCCACACAAATATGGCCAGTGGAGTTTTGGCAAACATATAAAGAGAATTCAATGAAGGAAGGACAGTGTTACAACAATTGGACATTCATATGCAAAACTATTAATTTTAACCAAGGAACCCTATACTGCATACAAAAAAATTAGCTCAAAATGGCTCAGAAATTTAAATATAAAATGTAGAACTATAAATCTTTTAGGAGAAAACATAGAAAATCTTTATGAGCTGGGCAGAAAAGAATTCATAGACATGACACTAAAAGTATGCTCATGAAAGAAAACACAGACAAATTATATTTTGTGGGAAATTGAAAACATTCACTCTGAAAACAAACATTGTTAAAAGGATGAGAAGACAATCTACAGTGTGAGAGAAAATGCTTTCAAAACATATATTGACAAAATACTTTAGAATATATAAAGAACTCCCCAGTTGAACAATAAGAAAATAGCAATCCAATTAATGCATAGGTAAAAGACTGACTACATCAAAGAAACTATAAGGATGACCAACAAGCACATAAAACTGTGAGCAATTTCATTAAAAACTAAGGAAACACAAATTTAAACCTTGAAGAAAGACATTATACATCTATTAGAATACCAAAAATATAAAAGCCTGACAATAACAAGTGTCGGTGTGAATCAGTGCAACTGGAACTTCACTGTGATGGGAATGCACTCAGGAAGTTAGTTTGGGAACTTTTTATAATGTTAAACATACACTTAATATATTACCAAACAATACCACTTCTGGATATCTACCCTAGAGAAATGAAAACCTACATTCACACGAAAACCTAAACACAGATATTTATACGAGCTTTGCTCATATTAACGAAAACTGGAAAGAACTCAAATGCCCTTCAACAAGTGCAGAGCTAAACAAATTGTGATACATCCATACAAAAAGATGTTGCCCAGTAATAAAAAAGAAATGAGTTACTGATACATGCAGTGTCTTGGAATCTCAGAGACATTATGCTAAGTGAAAAAAGATGAGCTTAAAAAGTCATATACTTCATAATTGATTCCATTACGCAGCCATCTTGAAAAGACAAATCTATCATGATGGATGTCCCATCAGTGGTTGCCAGAAGTTATGTGTGGGGAGAAAGAGCCACTGTAAAAGGATTCCTATGTGCAAATTTTCATTGGGGGTGGAACTGTTCTGGATCTTGATTAGTTATAGGGAGTAGTTATACCAACCTATGCCTGTATTAAAACTGAAAAATTGTCAAGTTTACTGCATGAAATTTGAAAATCAAATTTAAAAATTGGATGTGGTCAGGATAGGATAACTATAGAAGATTAGAGGAAAATCTTAAATCTTACAAATCTAGTTTTGTGCACTAAGATTGTTTTGAAACTGCTTTAAATTTTGTATCCACTTGAAAGATTCTGCAATAATCAGGGAAAATGTATTCTGGGTAGGATTTATTCATGGAAAATAAAGAAGAATTTCAGGTATCAGACCAGACAGAAAGAAAAGATCCTGATCCAACATCAAAAGATTATTGAACTCATGTTCACATATTTTAAATTTTAAAAAATCATTTTCACAGTTGTTTGCAAAGTGTTATTAACAAAGTAACTCATGACCTCACTGGATAAGAACTTTAGAAGAGACCCTTTATTGTACTGAAATAATTTGCTTTTTAAAGGTATCAAGTTCACAGTCTTATATGAAATACCCTTATTTTGAAATAAATTTTCCTAACAGTATTTTATTACCTCTTATCCTTCAACTTAACAGGATTTAGATTTTCGGGTGTGCATCATATTTATTTAATGAAAATAGATTCTATTGATCAGATATGATACTGTTGAAAAGATAGGTAAGTAAGAAGAGCAAGCATTTGATTTAATTTTCCAATACTCAACTTCTCTTAGTAGGATCTACCTTTTCCCCATTACATTATCACCCAATATTGAATGGGTTAAATTTTACACAGACATAGTATGCTTATGTCTGTATTACTAGGCTGAACTGAAAGAAAAGAAAAACTTTAAACCTGTCAAAGTGCATATTTGTCACTTTCTCATTGTTGGGACTAAACACCTAACACCCACAACTTATAGGAGAAGGAATTTATTTTGGCTCATGGGCTATCCCATGGTCTTCTGGCTCCAAGGCAGAAACAGCATGGAGGAAGGGCCTAGAGCTGTTATGGTTTGTGTCTGGATGTCCTCCCAAAACCCCATCAGCCATGGGAGGGGGGCTTTTAGAGGCAGCTGAATCTAGAGTTTGTGATTGGTTCTGGGATTAGGGGTGTGGTGCTACACCTGCCCTAGGATGGATAATCTGCATACAATATAAGTGAGGGAAAGAGGCTTGCTCTCTCTGCTCC